GTGTCTATGGTGTAATAATAATGATGTGATTGTGATGCTGTAATTCTGAGTGTGCTGTAGAACAGGAACCTGCTGTAAAACAGCAATTATGCTGAGTCAGGCTTGATTTTTAATAATCTTTTCCTGTTAAATAAATAAATCAAATCAAATCAAACTCCAACCAGGGAAGACTCCCTCCATCAGCCAGCAGATGGTCCGTTCCTCTCTATGCCAGCTGAGGAGCTGTGGCAGAACCCGTGGTGCTTTGTCACAGTCGCGTTCGCCGGCTGCTCCCATCGTGCCGTACCCTAAGGCGCAATATTTGTGGAGGCTTCGCCACTTCCTCTCCCCGATGTTTTAGTCAACCTGACACTTCCTTTACCACCAACGCCAGTCCGCATCATGCTGAGCAATGAACACACTGGATAATGAGCAGAATTTGTCAATCAGGCATGCTGCAACTCCCAAGACTGTAAATTTTTTTTAGTTTTTTAGCCAGAAGCAACGTCACACCAACAGTCATCATGAAGCCATCATTATGATCATTTGAAAATATTTTCAGTGCTTCGCTGAAAACACCTTGGGCATTTGTGTCTCACCTTTCTACCTTACTTGTTTGCTAGTTGTCATCCCTCTAGTATGCCCGCTGTTTTCACTCAGCTCCCAAATGAATATGACATGTTTTGACTGCAAATGAAATCTTTCCCTTCATTGTGCCGGGCACAGGCAGAGAAATTGGCGGTGCTGAGCTCATCAGCAGCAATAGGCCTCTGCCCCCATGACTCTCAAGGCTGAGTAATTTGTAGCTGTGATGAAGGATTTGTGCCGTGTGAGCACTTCACATTTTTCACATCCTGTTTAGCAGCAACAAGCATGCTCATAGCATTTTTCTGATCACAGACTCTTTAAAAAGCTTGGAAATAGCTTTTATGCTATATTGCTACCTATGTAGGTGCCACTTTAATCCAGAAGTCAACCTATGGAAAACACTTTGTTGATTACTGTTTATAACAGAGAAGCTAATAGTTTTCTTTGATTTATGAACAACTGAAAACATCTTAATTCAAAAGATCTTGTATCTTTTACCTGCTCCTTTTCAAACAAATACTCTAAAAAGGACCTGCCTAGAATGGATTATTAGTTCAAGAAAAAAATTATGGTTTCTTTTAATCTTACGTTTTTATTTTGTTTTGTTGCGTAAAGA